ACTGAAAGGTTGAAGGTTCACATCCACCCAGATGTGCCTGGGAAGAAAGGCCTAGCAATCTACTTCTGAAAAATCAGCATTGAAAATCCTGTGGAGCACAGTTCTACTAAGACACACATAGGTTCACCATTAGTTGAAATCCACTCAACAGCATTGGTTCTGAATCATAAAATATAGCAAAAAGAATTTTTAAGTATGTCTCATGACTTCAAGGAGTTAGCAGAACCTGAGAGCTCTATCTGGTAATTATTGTATTGGAACTTCAAATGCAGCCAGTCTCTACCTAACCAAAGTAAGGAATATTTTAAACTGCTATTAGAGAGTTTTTGTTCTAAACAGGGTAGTCACAAAGCCCAGAAACATGGATAAAATTATTTTTATCATTTATTATAATATAATGCCAACAGACCATTTATTTTGTATGTACCTATCTTTCCAGACTAGGTGGCCACCTGTTTTTATATAAATACCTACATTCAACCAACAGCATCGATATTTTAAGAGCTACCTCAATCAGGACATTCAGATACCTGTCCTAACAAGGATTAATTACTCTAGATCTTCATGAAATAAATTCAAAAGGCAATGGAAAGCAAAGTAACAAGATCACAGGGAAACAATTCCTTCCTTCTACATAGGCATTCATAAGGAGCCCTGATAGCAAAATGGTTAAGCTTTCAACTGCTAAGCAAGCTCACCCAGCATCTCTGTGTGAGAAAGACCTGGTAATCTACTCCCATAAAGATTTCAGTCTAGAAAACCGTGGGGCGGTTCTACTCTGTTACATGAGGTTGCTATGAGTCAAAAATCAATTTGACAGCACCCAACAACGACACATAGCTGTTTTCCCTAGGACAGCAGAGGAATTGGAGGTTTATTTATCCAGCATCTATCAAAAGTAAAGGAAGAACTTTCTGCTGCTGTGGCAGAAGGACCATTTTTAGTTAGTTATTGATTAAAAGTAAGGTATTGGCATAGGGAGAGGGATGATGATGACTTTCAACATTTCAAGAGATTATGTTCCTTATATGTATTCTACTACTAGAGGGGTGTGTGTGTGTGTGTGTGTGTGTGTGTGTGTGTGTGTGTGTGTGTGTGTGTTTAGAAAATTGACTAGAACGTGTAATTCAAACATTTAATCCTTTGAAAATCACAATAGGAAGCCAGCTAACACACTCTTGTCCAACCAGTCTAGTGTATACTATCCAAGCGCTGAAGTCCCACGCAACAACCCCAGGCTTGAGTCTGTGCCAAGACAGTAAGGCCAAGTGCCCTCTTTACCTTCAGAACAAGTATTAAACCCTATAATTGTGAACCAGGATAGGAAGATGCTGAAAAACAGAAACATAGTGGGCCAAGAAACACACAGTGCTTGTCATTCATCAGATGGAAAATTAGGTTTCTGTTGTAAAATAAATTACTGTTTACTTAATAGCATTGCTGAAGTACTGTTTATTCAGTAACTATTACAATGCATAATGGAATCTGACCCTTTAAGGATTAAAGAGGAAACTACAATATCACTATTACAACTATATTTTTTAAATGTTTAAAGTAGAACTATGCCCTCTTTTGGGAAAGAAGTTGCAAAGAGTCAGGGGTGAACCAAAATATGTTGCATGTAAATATTATAAGAAATAGACTACTTTACATGTTTAAAATGGCACTGAAATTCAAGGCTAAATTTATTTAGAAAAAGAATAAATAAATCAAAGAAATAAAAAATAGTAAAAAATACTTTAATAATGTTTGCCTTGAAAACTGCAAAATTTATTACAACACATTTAGATAAAAATATGTGCTTGGCAGTCCAGGGAAAAGGACTAGAAGGCAGGAGGAGACAGGAAAGCTGGTGATAGGGAACCCAAGGTTGAGTAAGGACAGTGCTGACATGTCGTGGGGTTGTTAACCATTGTCATAGGGCAACATGTGTACTAACTGTTTAATGAGAAACATTTACAGAAACATCTGTAAACCTTCATCTAAAGTACAAAAAAAAAATTATTATCTATGTAAGATCAAACTGACAACAACAACTTGAGGGGTTTGATGGGAAGCCTAGGGGATAGTGAGTTGAAGACAATGGTGATGGAATAATTTGGAAAAGGATAGTGAGAATGGCAGCACAACTGAAAGAACGTAATCTATGTTGCTGAACTGTACAAGTAGAAATTTTTGAAA